TTTTCAAATGCGCCAAAACGATATGCCGATATTGCTCCACTTTTTCAAAAATGGCATCCATATTATCCGTAACACGGCGCCCAGAGCGTGGTGCATCTTTGACATCAAATTTTCCGGATTGAAAACGCGTAAACCAAATTTGTGCTACCCTCACAGACACTGCACTAGGTCTATAATTATCACAATTTTTTTAGGCGGGTAGCATTGCATTTTTACCTTTTTAGTAGTAAAATTTTAAAATGTATCGAATTTCTTCATTAGAATCACTCATTTTAACAGTAAGAAAAACAAAAGAAAATCACACATTTTTCTAATTTGAAATTTGGATTAAAAAATTGAATTATCTTTTTTAAAATTTAAGCCTTTTAATGATACCAAAACCAGCCAGATACACATGGTATAGCCAAAGAGATATTATAAATACATGCATACTATTTGCGAAAAGAGTTTTTCCCCAACCTAATATATCAAAGTTGAAGTGGCATGGGATAAATCGATAACTAATGGGGATAAAATATTCTCGAGTGGTCGTTCATCCCATCTCGATGATCATCGCAGTGTAGGACGACCCCACACGATAATAGGATTACCTATGCGGGAATTCGATGGAAGCAGGTGGCTAAGGATCGTGTTTCGTGGCAGTCTATGGGGAGAACGATGATAATTATGAATGACTAAAGACATTTGTTAAAAAAAATTCTATCATATAACATACTTCAGTTGACGCTTAGGCTCTAGAAGGTTCCATCATAAAATTTTTAAATTTTTCGTTTTTAAGCAGTTGCTTGTCAAATGTTTCAGTAAGTTTTCTTCTATTCTTGGTTGAAATGAGTCAAACTATCCAAACGATTTTCCATCCTTCCAATTTCTGTGGCCGTGAACTTGTATTTGTAGCGTACTTCAGATTCAAGCACTCATGAGGGTCTCCACTTGATGCGAAACAGCGATTATTGTTTACATCGAACCCTACAGTTTGAGTGCCCACTTCAACGATTTTTCCAGAAAATGAATAGGAAATATTCCAATATAGGTATGCACTAGAACTTTCTACCGTTACTACTTTACTGAGAGGTTCTTATTACTTATCTCGGTGTAATGCGGTCTATAACTGTTTGCTGGTTACTAAAAACTCTGTTTAGTATGAAATGTTTTCTGCAACCAAGTGTTACGCTATGACGATCTGGATTAATAATGTTCTTGATTTGGTTCTCATCGTCTTCACCTGAATGGCTAAATCATTGCGTATTTTTCAGCGATAAATCGGACCAGATCGAGATCTGGCAAACTAATTTTGCCATTGCATTTCTTTGAAGACTTCATTCCTTTTTGTGCTTGCGACGCGTTCTTGCCTTTCGGAAATAATAAAATGAAAGTTGTATATATAAAAAAATTAAGGAAAGTGCAACTTTCGCTTCAGGGTCTTTTACCTGTCAAGGCCGCGATTCAATAATTAATGAAATACAAATAATTGCCCAGAAGGGGACAGACCCACCTTTTTCTATCTACTCTGTCAGGAAATTAAAAAAATGAAGAAAGATACATTTGGACTAATATAAAGCGAAGGGGTGAAATATACCACGTGGGATGCCACATGTAATAAAGTTATTATTATTGTTAAAACAATGCCGAACGTGTCCTCGAGTAGATGAAAAAGATTATGCGTATTCATAATTCTAGATTGCATTTATTTATGTGAAAAGTTAGAAAGCGAGCCGGCGGTTCACCTTATATCGAGTGATTACCACCGCCCATGGACATCAGCAACACTTAAGGGTTTACATTAAAAAGTGACACCAGATAAAAGTATAACTTTCACTTCACGTCAGTGTTCTGTGAGGCCGTGGTACTCCTCTGCCCGTTCCTGCAACAGCAGAAGCTACTGCGTGGCCCTAATTAGGTTCAGGAGACACAGCTTTCATTGCCAGATGATGACCCAGTAGGTTTCGGATAGGCCGTAGAATAAGTGGAATCATTAGAGGTGGACTGATGAACAATATATCCTGATGGATGGTTTACGTCCTAGGGTTTATGTTGCGGCGGGTGATAAGAGAGCTGGTTCTTTTCTCGCTCAAAGATTAAGTATAACTATTCAGCGAGGAAATGCAGCAAGCGTTCATGGCACCATGACGCGTGGACTAGGTTTATTAGATAATATTATGTAATTTAGATAGTTTGAATGTTGGAAAAATAAGTCTTTTTAGACATTGACGCTAACAAAATGGAGAGTGAATATAGTTATAAATAAACTTTACCCTTTAAATTTTTTTCTTCGACGCCAATTGTTTACAGTGTTTCAAACGTTGGTAGGGCCTCGCAACAACCACGGCTGTTGCACGAATGGGCAGGCCCGTCCGGGTAAGTACCACGACCTCACAGAAGACCAGCGTAAAGTGGAAGTATGACAAATACTTTCGCGTTTCGTCTGGTGAGTGAGGTAGCCGGAGCCCAATTTTCAAAAGGTTGTCAACGCATCTGTAACCCTCGGGTGTAGCAGATGTCCATGGGCGGCGGTATTCACTTACCATCAGTTGAACCGTCTGCTTGTTTGGCAACTTTTCACATAAACGTTCATATTTCGAGTGTACGAATATTTAAGGACATATTTAATGCTATTATTAAGCGCGGATGGAAACAATTGAAAAATTATTCATTCTTAGCAGACTAGTTGCGTTGCGTTGACTAAATAGTCATCAAACTGGAAATAAATATTTATCAGACAATTTAAAAGCCCTGCTGACGTTGACAAAGTGAATAGGAAATGATAAGGCTCACTTGATGTTTTTTATCTTTTGAACGATCATACAAAAAGTATGTAGTCATTAAGTGCATGTATAAATACTTAATTTTAGAAAACCTGTAAGGGAGGAAGAGTTTTTCAGTTAGAAAGTAATATATAAGAAACTCTTTTCAAACTTTTTGTAAAAGAGATGCAAATTTAAAGAGGGGGCCTAACAACGGCCCGATCATGAATGGTGCAAAATATCCGAAATGTCAATAGTAGTCAATAGAAAAATATAAAGTTTGATTTAATAAAATAACTGCACTATATCTTAATGTAAATTGATGATAAATTTCAAAAAATTAACACAAGAAATGTTCTATTTTTGTGTACGATCAAACAAATTCGGCTCTAGGTGAAGAACATTTAGTTTTGAGGGCGTTTATTTACGACAAAATAATGTCAATCGTAATAAGCGTCTCCCGTGATAAAATTGAAGAAGGTCATTGGCTCAAGGTCGGAAATGTCTCATTTTTATCACCGCGGGCGTCAATCAATGCCTCAAGCGGTCAACTTATCAACGGCCCACAATAAGGTTGTTTCGTAATTCGTTACATCAGCATTTGACATTTTTTTCACTCACCCGATTTTATTCGCCATATCCTATCTTGAGTACAAGCAACATTATCCTCTCAATGCCACATATGGAGACAAAGTGACGACTGCATTAAACGCTTAATATATACGTTTATTACAAAAATCGACCTTATTTCCCGTTAATCTATTAAATATAATCCGTAGAATTTTAATGGGGAACTGATGAAATGGGCACCGTTCAAAATTAGAAAATATAAAAACAAACAGTATAGATGAAACTATTTTTATGGATTTATCGCGTTTATTTTTAACTTCAATTACCGGCCTTTCGAACCCTTTAGCGTTCATGGTCACGGCACAGACTACGACTGGACGTCTGAATGTCATAGTTAACCCGGGCTGCCGTCAGTTTTTAAATTATTAACTTTCAGTCCGATCTATGTAGAAGGTGGTAATTGTATCTTGTCTTCCAGTGGTTGCTCGTTTGGGCTCACATTTAATTTTATTAGTGATAGTATACCAAGCTGATGTATGTGTAAACCAAAATAATCAAAAAACCAATAAATTAAAATAAATTAAAAATAAACGCGATAAAGGTGTAAAAATAGTTTCATTTATAATGTGTAATCGCTTAAAATGTAAAAAAGTAAAAGTCAACTCTTCTTATTATTCTTTCTATTAATATGACAATAAAAGTAAAGTAACAGCCTATACATGTCCCACTGCTGGGCAAAGGTCTCATCTATACAGAGGGTATCAGGGCATAGTCCACCACGCGGCCCCACTGCGGATTGGCGGACTTCACGTTTCACGTTTCCTCACGATGTTTTCCTTCACCGTGGAGCACGTGATAAGTCAGCACTTAAAGTTAAAAACTTCATTAGTGCCGGCACCGGGGATCCAACTCAGGTTGCTCGAGTATATTGAATTAAAGGTGAGCACCCGGACACTGAGCTATCACGGCTCTATTTATATGATAATAACAATTCAATTATCAAAGTATCTTCAACAAAACCGTTACATGTTATTAGTAATTGTGACACAAGTAAACAATTTGTCAGCGCTTCTCCAATTAATTAGCGAGTAAATTAATTATTCCATCAAGTACCGTTTTCGCGAACTCTGGTAATTATCCCGAAAGTTTACATTTCACTTCCAGTGAATTAGGAAGCGAGGGAAATTGTATTGCTTCAAAGACTCTAAAGGAATTCAATTTCCTTTGTCGACAAGAAAAGTTTTTCAAGACTGTTCTATTCCCTTTCAAGGATTATTAGTTTTAATATATCTTATATTGGTATGTGTTATATCTTAAAGTAGTAAAAGAAATGTAAGACGTGTTAATACTTCTATTAAAATAATATTGCCTCTTTCAAAGCAAAACTTGATTTAGATTAGCGCCATTCAAGGAATATAATGTAACACATTATTTTTTGTTATATGTTATTATTCTTTTAAAGTAAACTTAGCGATTTATCGGAGAATTGATGTGTCATAGTCATGTAATAGATCCTGAAGAAGGCGCAAAATGAATTGATTACTTGAAATACGTAAGTGTTATCAGTAAGTCGAGTGGACACCAAACAGAACACTTTAGGAGATAATATTATCGGCGTAGATAAAGATTTTTTCATAGAAGATTATATAAAAGAGGTACATGACTTCTAAACCTTCATTATCACCAACCATGTCTGCTTTGCGCATTTTGCTGTTTCTCTGCTTCTTTGCGAACGTGTTTACCAAGTCCCTTCGGCAAGATGACGTTGCCAAGGCCTTGTTGGAGCAGTATATAGAAGAGAAAATGGCTGAAATCAACCCAAGATTCCGACCTCACTATCACGTAGCACCGCCTGTTGGTTGGATGAACGATCCCAACGGTTTCTCGTATTACAAAGGAGAGTACCATCTTTTCTACCAGTATTACCCGTACGACAGCATATGGGGACCGATGCATTGGGGCCACGTGTCCAGCCCAGATTTAGTCCATTGGAAACAGCTGCCGACAGCCTTGCTGCCGAACGAAGAGCAATGCTTCTCTGGTAGTGCGGTGCAGGATGGTGATACAATGGTGCTAATGTACACCGCCCACATAGTTTCTGATAGAGATCCGTTTTACAACGAGACCCAATACTTGGCATACAGTGACGACGGTATTAACTTTGATAAATATGATGGTAACCCCGTACTCCCGTCGGCTCCTAATGGCTCTCCTGATTTTCGTGACCCCAAAGTTTGGAGACACGGTGACCATTGGTATGTCATTCTCGGTAGCAAGACTGATGATAAACGCGGCAGAGTGCTTCTGTACAGGTCGACAGATATGAAGAACTGGGAATTTTTGAATGTTTTGGCGGAATCACAGGGTGACATGGGCTACATGTGGGAGTGCCCAGACTTCTTCGAATTGGACGGCAAATTTATACTTCTAATGTCACCACAAGGATTAGAACCTCAAGGAGACAGATATAAAAATACCTACCAAAATGGATATATCATTGGTAGCTTTGATTATGAAACATTTGAATTTGTACAAGAAGTTCCATTCCAAGAAATCGACTTCGGACACGATTTTTATGCTGCCCAGACAACGGAAGTCAACGGTAGGAGATATCTTATTTCCTGGTTTAGCATGTGGGAAGTGCCCCATCCGGAAGACGTAGATGGATGGGCTGGAATGATGACAATCGTCAGAGAATTAAAACTCGTCGATAATAAAATAATTATGAAACCCGTTGATGAAATAGTTGCACTTAGGGAAAGTGTTGCAACTGTGGGTGACTTAGAATCTAATGAAGAAGTAGAGTTCGGTCAAGCAGTGGAAATTATAATTGCAGCCAATTTCGAGGAAAGTGTACAATTACAACTAGAGGGAAGAGATGGAGGTGATAAGGTATGGCTCCGATGGGACCCGGAAGTCGGAAAAGTTGTAGTTGACAGAGGATCTGGAGATATCAGACAAGTCGAATGGGAGCCTAACAGTTCAGATTCGTGGAGAATTTTCTTGGACTCAAGTTCTCTCGAGCTATTTTGTGGAATTGGAGACGTAGTGTTCAGCAGTAGAGTCTACCCCTTAGGCGGTTGGAAACTTATTAACTTGAGCAATCAGGATGTCGAAATTGAAGCTTACAATTTGAAAAAGAGTTTCCCAATGTGAGATATTTAACGACGGTCCTTGCAAAAAATCTGACGGACAACATAAGTTAAACCAGTGTGATATAAAATTTGTGATGTCTAAATTATTTATTTAGGTTAATTTTTTTACTAATGCAGTTTATGCTCAATTTATAAAAATAATAAAATCTTTTACTTATGTGTATGAACACATAAATAAACAACACTGACGCACATGGGTTCTCTTATCATTGTTTTAAATTTTTATGTTTCCGTTACCTTTGAACTATGTAGGTCACCAAATCGCACGTTTTCGTCAGTTTATTAAAAATAACAGCTATTATGTATATTTCCGCAAACCTTACTATATCATATAACTTGAAAGGTTAACAAGATTAAACCCTGTAGAGTTCATTAAACGTGCTGGATCATTGAGTTCATTGTGATGACATTTATACATATATTTCAAAACAGCTCTATCTACAGTCTATGCACCAAATGGGATACTACTAGACGGTGCTCCATGATAAATTTTGTTACAAGTGACATATTAAACATAGGGAACTCCATGGAAATTATCAAATCACATCAGTGAAATTTTTTTGACGTGGGGCAAATGCTTACGTATAGCGAAAGGTCAGGTTATGTCGGACTCGTACCGATTAAAAAATATGTACAGGGTCTAAGGAACGCTTTCGCAAACTTCCGCGATCTTGACTGAGCTGATCGTCTCGGCAGCCTCTCCGCGGGGAGCAGTCCCCTCTCTTGGTAAGGTGCTGAGTCTCTTCTGAATGAAGAAGAAGAAGAAGCATCTCGACAACATAAATATCGTCTGTGAAAATTTTCAATTGTCTAACTATAACGGTTCATGAGTTACGGCCTGGTAAGAGACAGACAGACAGCGGAATCTCCCGTCCCGGTCCGGTCGCGGTCCGGTCACAGTCCGGTCCGGTCGCGGTCCGGTCACAGTCCGGTCCGGTCGCGGTCCGGTCACAGTCCGGTCCGGTCGCGGTCCGGTCACAGTCCGGTCCGGTCGCGGTCCGGTCACAGTCCGGTCCGGTCGCGGTCCGGTCACAGTCCGGTCCGGTCGCGGTCCGGTCACAGTCCGGTCCGGTCGCGGTCCGGTCACAGTCCGGTCCGGTCGCGGTCCGGTCACAGCCCGGTCCGGTCGCGGTCCGGTCACAGTCCGGTCCGGTCGCGGTCCGGTCCCGGTCCCGTTTTGAGTGTGTGTGAGTTCGAAAAAGGATCTTGCGTATACTTCTAAAAATTGGCCTTTGTTTGCACATGCCAATTTTTTATATAAAAAAAAAACCAACAGATATTTCACCGCTAATCATATCATTTTAATATACGAAGGCTGTGTAGCAAATGTTATCGTAATATCGATATTCCATGAACAAGAATCTGTATTTAGTTACTAGAAAAGCACTTCGGGGAGTAGCGAAAGGCATCCACTTATTTGTGGAAATCCCTCAGGGGGATGAAAACAGTACTTGTGTGTCGCAATAATAATATTATTAACTTTTGTCTTATTGCCGAAATTATGTCAGTGTAATCATATTATATATCTGTCCTTAAGTACAGATTTACATTATGATATCTTTTAATGAAATAAAACTTGCTGATCGAGATGTATTGTCGAATGAAATTGAATTACATTTACTCAGATTTCAGTGCACAGACAATGCCAAGAACAGGGTTCTTGGCATTGGTACATATCTACACATACCGTATGTATTTTTATTAAGTCAAGTATGCAAATGGATATGATGTGAGGTTAAATAGGTCTTGTAAATTGATTTGGTGCTTGACTATATGTGAAGATTACTTTTTAGCTTATATAAGCGATGATTTTTTTGTTTAAACATCCAGTAAAACCTTGGTAAATGATTTGCGGACAACTATGTTTTGTTGGTTGTTTAGAAAATAGAAAACGACGGGTGTCTCAATACTATGCAAAAGCTGGCCGGTCGGTGCGAAATAAAACCTAAAAAAAAAATCTGTACAGGAGACACATTTCACTGCTATTTTCTCGATATTTTATCTGGTTCCCGGAGAGCTTTGCATTTTTTGTTTTTTATTTCAACCGCACAAAGCAAGTTTCAGGTTTTAGCCGAATTATGATTGAAAATTGTTATACATTGCTAATAAAATACGTTATAAATGTAAGTGCACAATGTGTGTGCTGCTAAATCTCAGAAATTAGTCCAAGTACGATCAAGAGCCGTGTCTGATGCCGTAGCCCACTTTCTAGATGGATATCCACTCCTTATAGAAGGTGCCATCAATTAGGTGGACGAAGTCGCACTCGTGATTGTGGATTATGAATGTACAAAAATTAATTGTTCAAAGAAAAAAAAAATGAAGGATGATAGATGACGCATGACTAACTAGAAAACTTCCTAGGTAAGATTGGGTTAAGATCACCATACCCTTATACATACATCCAAAGAAACCCTGTTTCTTGGGAGGACTATGAAGGTTTTTACCCACTTAAACCTTGGAAGGTGTTCCGGGATCTGATACGATGTAACTAATTCCCTTCGGTTTATTACAACGGATGAATAGGCCCTAGCCATTTCGACCATGAACCCAATGTCGCTCCACTTTTAATCGCCTTTCAACAAGGTTCTTGGAAATAGCTATAATTTTTTTAACAAGCTTATTAAGTTTACTGTGATATAGCCACAAGAAGTGCTAAGGCCTCAAAAAATATTTATCTAATATATAAAATTCTCGTGTCACGGTGTTTGTAATTGAACTCCTCCGAAACGGCTCGACCGATTTTCGTGAAATTTTGTGTGCATGCAGGGTGGAGAATCTGACAACATCTATTTTTCATCCCCCTTAATGTTAAGGGTGGTTTGCTCCAAACATTTTTTTCTACCCTACAAATATTTTATTTATTTATATGGCAAAACAACGTTTGCCAGGTCAGCTAGTTTATATAAAAAAAAATTATTTATACTTTCACGTTTGCAAGCTCCCAGTGTTGTTGATTTCATGTACAGCGTTTGACAATTTTTAACATAAAAAAAATTTAACAATGAATGGGCGATGGGACCGGCTTTGTCTGTTTAATTGTAATAGGGATCTCCTATGGAATAATTGTAAAACCATTCTTTACTATCGAAGTGAACATCAGATTGTATCGATTTCATATAAAGTTTTATAAACTTAATTTTCTAGAATATATATAATATTCTAGGGCAAATTTCTAAAGAAAAATTTGAATTTTAAACAATACTTAAAGTTCAAGTTTAAAAGAACATTCCATGCAGGTATATTTTAATTAGTTTGCTCAATACTTGATCTAACTTTATTTCATTAGATTTTAAATCATGATAGTCTTCGAAACACTGACTGGAATTGAAAGGAATAGAAACGATTTTAAGTATAATATAGTTCACTCTGGAGAATTCTCTTACCCAGACCTCATAAAAGTTTTCGAACTATAAGCAATGTAAAGTAATAAGTTCTATAATGTGATTTCATAATTTGTGTAATTTTCACATTATAAAGTGTGAATTTAAGATGTTTACTTAAATTCACACTTTATAATGTGAAAATCATCGTAGTCATCATTAAATACTTAAGGATATTAGAGCAGTTTAATTTTGGAATAAAAATAATAATTTAAAACATAATTTAATAAATAACATAAATTAATAATTTAAACTTTTACTTCTGCTGTTGTTATCGTTTATTATTTCTTTTTTATAGGTACTACATATTAATTGTTTAGGTTGTAATTGCCTTTTGAATTTAACTTCATATATACTTTCTGTTCATTTATGATTTTTCTATTAAAAGAAACTTAGCTAGTGTTAAAACTAAATAATTATAAGTGTGGTGTACTCTGTAAGTTTCCCAAATAAAGGAATAAATAAATTAGACTGACTACCACGAAGTACAGTGCTGAGCCACTCTCCCCTACCGACTTCACGAACATCTGCACAGGTCGTCACCCCATCTAGTAGGGGGTCGAATTCGGCTGTATTTTATAAATGTTTATGACTTCAAAATTACGTCATTTATTGATTTTTTTTAAAAAATGTTTGTTACCGCAGAATTACGTCATTTACGAACCGACTTGAAAAATTCTTCTCATTTAGTTCACTGTAGCTTCCATGAAGTCCCATATTAATTCATTGTTATTGAACCTAGGACTCCGGAAATGAAATCAAATAGAAAATGTGAAGAAAATCAAAAGGTTTTTCTTCCAAAAAATATTACTCTAAGTACTATTAGCGCCATCTGTTGCCAATGCCAGGTACATCGTCATACAGGTCTCCTCGAGTTTTTAAACAACTTATATTAATTTTTTGTATCAGTTTTATTTTCATTTTTTATTTATTTTCCACGGCCGGAGAAGTAAATTATGAATAAATGATAATACGATATTGCTGACAATCTTAGGCAAGTCGTCACTCCACCTCCGCTTTACTCTACGTTTTCCTAAGCGAGATTTCCACAAAAGCCTGTAATGGCCATATCTGCCAAAGGAGCCAGCGATGGCATAATATCTGGTGCGTGGCATGCTTGTTTGTGAAGTACTCCATTAAAGCTTAGCATACATAAATAAAGGCCCCAAGTGAAAAGCCGGCCAGGTGCGAGCCGGACTCGCGCACGAAGTGTTCCGTACCATTATTTATAAAAACGTCATAAATAATCATGTCTGCTGTATATGAGGCCTACTTTAATGTTTTTTTAGTATTTGGTGTTATAGCGGCAACAGAAATACATCATCTACAAAATTCCATAACTAACATGGTTAAATTGTATAATTATCATGGTTCATGAGCCTGTTGATAGACGGACAAAGGACAGACAGGCGGACAGACAGCGGAGTCTTAGTAATAGGGTTCCGTACCTAAAGGGTAAAACGGGACCCTATTACTAAGACTCCGCCGTAAAAAAATCACACATTTTTTTGTAATCTCAAATCATTTTCAATAAAACACTTTTTTTTGTCAGAGCTTTGTGAATATATAATAAAAATCTACCTCGCCAAATGGAAATTATACAATACTGAGATAA